TCTTCCCATCAGGCAACAAGTATTCGACAACCTTTCCCGCGTCTGGCTTGCCTGTGGCCCACTCCTTCTCCTCCTTGCGAGGATCCCTGGCTACGTAACTGGTCGTCTCCTTTATCATCCGCACTATCTCCTTCTCGGCGCTCGTGTGAAAAACATAGCCGCTCTTGCGGAGCAGGGTTTGCATATGTTCAGTCACATCCCGCCCGGCCACGTCCATCCTCCGGATGCTATTAGGAACGGTAAACCCTTGGTACACGGGTACGGCATGTGACACGCCGTCGCCGACGTCCAACACCACGCCAGTTGTCCGGCCGCTGGCATATAACGAGAGCACGGCTTGGATGGAGGTGTGGAGGGCGGGCACGTTAAAAGTCTCGAACAGGATTTGGGCAGCTGTGTCGCGGTTGGAGCGAGGGTTGAGGGGCGGTTCGGTGAGAAGCAAGGGGTGCTGCGGGGTGTTAGCTTTGTATGTTAATTTCAACCCGAGGTTTGGGGAGGGGATTACCTGTTCAGCGTCGCACTTGAGCTCGCTGTACACATGTGACCAGATCTTCTCCATGTCGTCCCAGTCCGTAACAATGCCGTGCTCTAGCGGATACCGGATCTTGAGCAGCCCGCGCAGCTCGGCTGCCGCCTTCTTGCCGACGAAGACCTCGCCCTCCAACGCGCCTGCTAGCACCCGTAGATGCTTCGGCCTCCCTACCCATGACGGAAAGTTGACTTTTGGTTCACTTTCCCCAGAATAACCGGCCCGTATGTTTCCGGACCCATTGTCCAGCACAACAGCCACGTTGAGTGGTGAGTCGCTCATCTTTCCTACCCAGGTTGTGTTTGACGACTACCGCTTCGACATGCAGTACCTAGCCGAGGTGTTGACGCTAGTCGTTGCCTAGTTCTTTGTGCGGGCCACCTAATGCCTCGAAAGTGAAAGCGCGCCGCCTGAAACCCTCGCTCAATCGGTGCCTACCCAGCCAGATATGTAGGTAGGTAGAGATGGATGTCGTCTCTTGCTCTCACTCACACTCGCACCACGAACAGTAGTTCGACTACTCGGGTGTGTGGCGCAAAAATAAAATCGTAAATCCCTGCGCAGATATCTCGAATATTTGGCACTTGCCAGTCGTACTCTTGTTGCTTGGTTGTCGTCAACTGTCCTCAGGATCCTGTTTGCTTCGAGGCTGGAATCACGACGCGTTCTTTAGACAAAGCGGTGCATCGTCGCGCAGGCACATCATTGGTGGCTGCCCGGAGCTGTTTTGTGGGTCCAGCAAGGGATAACAAAGAGAGGCCCAAGGAAGCACGGACCATTTAATCAGAGCTTCCCCTTATCGATATTGGCGGCGGCGCGGGGCACCCTCTTCAATCTTTAACGACCGACAGCTGGTGCGGTCAGAACTGCCCCTTCTCATGGAGTTCAGGTCGGGTGGTGGGAATTTCAGAAGCATGCATGGTCGAATTACCCATTTCAGTGCTCTCAAAAAGTACCTACCTACCTACCTACCTACTTTCCAAAGAGCGACATGACGACTTCCGAGTAATGTTGTCAAAGCCAAGGTTGACCTGGATTTCAAATAATAGTCTTGGAAATTCCTCCTACCCGTTCTTCACTCCTTGAATAGCACTATCTGAATAACCGGCGCCTTTCTTCTCTCTTCCTACGAACGCTTCAGGCGGGTTTCGAGCTGCACCGTAGCTCCGATCTCCGACGGCCACACCTTGACCAGCTCCAAGCCGACTGCATCAAACATTTGCTGAAACTCATGCAACGTCTTCTCCTTCCCGCTGATGGACATCAAGTTCAAGTCGAGCCAGTATAGCTCCTTCATCCGGCCTGGTTGTACCAATTCTGGCACCAGCATGTCGCAAACAATCAGGCGCGAATCGGGGCCCATGGCCGAAACAGTGCTCTTGAGGATGTCAAGGCAGACAGACGGGTAGAAGTCGTGGAGCAGCCGCCGCATGAAGTAAACGTGCGCGTCTTGACTGAGGTTAGTTGAACTGAACTTCCACAGGAAAATAGCAGTGGTGGGTGAGGGTGGGGTTGGGGAGGGGGGCTCACTCTTGACCGGCTGAGGCGTAAAGATATCGTACGACATGGCCTCGATGTTGGGAAGCTCCTCCGGCTTCAACGAGTTGATGACAATAGGGAGGTCCTGCAGAATCAGCTTGCCGCCATAAGCCCCCGGAATTTCCTCCTGGAGCTTCAACAGAGCCTGGCCGCGTCCGCCGGCGACGTCCACGACAAACGGCCTCTCGGGCTCCTTCTCCACGTTTTCCTTGAGCGATTCCCACGGAAACATTCCCGTGATTGGCATGTTCTTCTCGATGATCTGGAGGCAGGAGTTCCAAATGAGCCGCTGCTCGGGGTCTTCGTCGATAGCTTCGTAGTAGGTCTTCCCCTCCTTGCCGATGCTGAAGCAATAGGGCGACTTCTTCAAATCATAGATATCTTCCGGTTTGTGGGTCTTGAAGTAGTTGGGAAGCGCCATACACATCTTGTTGAACTCCATGCAAAGGACGAAAAAGGGGCCCTGGGCGTGAAGCTGGTACGCCTGTGAGAGGGCGTTGTGCGCGTACGTGTTGGGCGCCGTTTCGACGAAGAAGCCCGAGACCACGGCCACTCGCATCAACCGGTGGATGGCCGATACGTCCATGTTCATCTCGGCGGCGAGCTTCTCAGCCGTGATGGTGCCTTCATCCGGAATCTTCTTGATGGCGCCGGTCGAGATCAGGGTGTACATGACACCGGATGTGCACATGGTCTCCTGCTGCCTCTCGATCACATCGTACGGCGTTTCGAGTAGGGTGCGCACCTTATCAACACGCTCAAGGAGGGCCAAATGCTGCGCATGGTTTGCCTGGGGTTGGCTCTTGAGGGCTTCGACGAGCTCCTCGGCGGCTCTCAAAGCTGAGCTGGTGTCCTCCATGATGAGTGCTTCGAGCGTATTCTAGGTGATGGTAAGGAAAAAGATAATATCGTCCTCGAGTCCTCGATGTCGTGGATTGAGGGGGAAGTGAGCGGAGAAGGACACCTCAGACTGACGGCGCAGGAGCTAAAGCGACCAGGGCCTGCTTCGAACCCATATCACGAATCTGCTCACCGGCTGGGGACCGGGAGTCGACCCAGCAGGCCAAGGCGGCCAAGGCATCAAGAACGCTCAGGCAGGCCCAGCTCCCGGCATCCTTTAAGACAAAACAAGCTAGCAAGGCAGCTCGTTGTTACCTTTGACGCTGGTTCGCGTCAGTCTCGGAGCGGGCCGGCAACTTTCATGACTCTTGGGCTCCTCTTCTACGGGAAGGGATGGCACCGACTTCCCGGGCCTCCTCAACCAAAGTCCCGGAAACCCCGCAGAGCAACAGGTTCGTTCGGTGGGCGGGCCCACGCACGTTGATACGTCTCGGTTAGACGGCGTCGAAGCCCACCAACCACGGGATCGAACCATTGGCTTTCCGAGTGGCAACCTTGTCGAGGGACGTCTTATCGCGCATGCCGTTGGTTGAGGAGGGCACGAAATCCCACCTCGCTGAGCTCCCCTCCAACACCCTTCCAGACGGCTCCCAGCCCCACGCCAGAGCGGGCATGTCCGATTCCCACCCACTGCACCCTGAGAAGGAGCGATTTGCAAAGAGGAAAGAAAACATTTGGGAGAGAACAGAAAGCCAGCGCACTCGTCAAATCACAGAATACCGACCATCTGGCTCTGCCAGCCACTTTCATGCGGTGTGACCTCGCGTGGAGACGCTCGAGGGGGCACAGAAGTTGCTTGTTTTAGTTCCGCGTCGCACACACACCACACGGTCGCTGCCAAATCAGCACTTGCATTTGGGCATCTGGTGGCGTCGGACTTGACCCGAAACTCGATAGTCGCTGCTGATTTGGCGCCGCCGCTGACGAACAGTCTGTGGGCAGCGACAATACTGGATAAGCCTGTGGTGCTGTCTCATGTTCATTTCCTCTTTTTTTTGGACAATGGAACGTCGGGTGAGCTCCCCGAGCTCTTTCCTACAAACCGTGCCAACTGGCGCACACGAGGCAAGCGGAGCAAACAAAATACCTCTCAGGGACACAGGCAAGACCTGCCGTCCCTGCTGTGGCCCAATCAGCTCAGGGGTACCCGTGGGGTTGCCTGCTGGTCCTTGTTGGCGGTGTGGGCCATGATCCCCAGAAACCCACGGCGGAACGGGATGAGCCTAGGACGAATGTGGCACCCCTTCTTGGGAACGCCAAGAGCGAGCGCTCCATTGCATTGTTCTTTCGTTCGACAACCGGCCGGCTCTCCGCAATTCGACATTTGACATCCCCCCTCAGAGATGTTGACAACCGCCTCCGCCGTCTGTTAATTCACCGATTGCCGCCGCGATTCCCGCATAAAATCGAGCGCCATGGTGGACCAGTCACACCCGGCGCCGGATAATATTATCCAAGCAGACGAGGTGAGTTCACGTGGAAATCATGGGTCGAATTGGCTCTCTAGTTTTGGTTGTGTAGCCAACGTAAACTGACTTGTGCGACAGCAATGGGACAACGCGAGCGTTGATGACGAGGTGGGTGTTCTTGATGGCTTCCGGGGCGTTGGGAAAGTCACCAGCGAACTGAAACATGGTTCGGTTCACAGGGCGCTGAGGTGGCGAGTTCCGGAAGTTCCTTGACTTCGATCACGTCCTCGGTGCTCCGAGGCAAGGTCGAGGATGGGCGGGTGTATGCCGTGTACGGCAAAGAAGGTATGTCGGTCCCCGGAGCGGCGGGCGTGATAGCAGTCGCTAACCTAAGCTAGAGTACGGGATGCCGATGGACGATGTGGAATTGGACAGGATCGGTCAGTATTTTCAGAGTTTTCCGCCCCCCGAAAACGCGCTGCCCTCGGGAACGACCCCTGAATCTTTCCGTTGGCATTGCGCAAAGCTCGACGAAAAGAAGTGGCTGACCTCAGAGGTTAGACATGTGCCACGCCAAGTACTATGCCTTGCTCGAGAAGAGTCGCTTTATCGCCCCGATTGGAGAGAACCCCCAGAGGATTTTAGATCTGGGCTGCGGAACAGGTAAGCAATTGTTCGCACTGGGCGTCATGCACAGCAAACCCGATTATCTGGATCCGAAATTAACATGTCTCAGGCATATGGTCGATCGACGTTGCGGATATGTACCCTTCCGCTGATGTATGCATAACTAAGTACTTATGTCCCGAAGCTGTTCGGTCCAAAGATCTAACTTGTGCTACCTAGGTAATCGGGGTTGACATTGCGCCAACACAACCAGAATGGTGAGCGAAACCCTGGGTGTCGCCCGATAACTAACCACTAGCACACTCCCACTAACAAAACCACCAGGGTCCCGCCAAATTGCCGGTTCGAACTCGACGACATCGAACAGGATTGGGCTTGGAAACAAAATTCGTTCGACTTGATCTTTGCTCGCGACCTCATCCTCGCCGTCCGGGACTGGCCTCGGCTCATCGACCAGGCTTACACGTAGGGGCCCCTACGATATTTACTTTACACCGCCAGCTGACCGCCACAGACATCTCAAACCCGGCGGCTATCTAGAATTCCATTGCGTGACGGGTATCTTAGGGTGTGACGACAACACGCTACCCAAGGACAGCGCCCTCCAGAAGTTTTCGGACGCCATGTTTGAGAGCACGAAGGTTTTCGGCACACCCATCGACGATCCGACACGGTGGAAGGGCTGGTTCGAGGACCGCGGCTTCGAGGATGTCACCGAGGTCGTCTACAAGATGCCGTGCAGCCCGTGGCCCAAGGACCAGCGGCTCAAGCTCATCGGCGCGTTTGAGATGGAGAACTTGCTGTACGGCCTGAGCGGGATGGTGACGAGGGTGTTTGGGAAGGGGCTCAATTGGTCGCCGGAGCAGGTGCAGGTGTTCCTGGTGGATGTGAGGAAGGAGATCAAGAGCCGGAACTTGCATGTTTATTGGCCCTAGTAGGTGTTTTGTTTTTCTCTGTTCCCTCCTCTTGGTCGGGTTTGCTAACAACTTCAAGTTATGTCGTCTATGGCCGAAAACCAGGTGGTAGTACGCCGAGAACAGCGCCCCCTCGACCGGAGCCAACTCCGCCGACGGCCCCATCACCGCCAACCGCATGACGTGCTAAGACCTGATTGAGGCGTTCGGGCGTGTTAGGCGGGCTTGGGGAGTTGGCTCAGGCTGTCTCGGCAGTTTCCGTTCTGTTCGGCATTTAGCGAAGCAAGACATTTCCGTCAGATTTTTACATAGCGCACACGGTTCCAAGCACATACTACCTATATACCTGTATTCTTCATCCAAGCAACGATTCAACCCTTATTTACTTCGTATCCATGCAGATGCGGGTATATATCCCGTATGTATTACTAAAAAAAAACAATGAAGGCCTAATTATATATTGCCCACCCCTGAAGCACATCTCTCCTTTGTCCGGGTATTGTACCCCAAGCCCCACCACCAACGCCAACAAAGCAAATGTGGGACATGTGTAGGTCATGTCCTATCTCCCGATCCTCACCACCACTACCCCTCTTCCTTCCCTTTCCCGTCATCACCCCCCTTGTCCTATCCGTCTCGCGTGATTTATATCTTCCCGTCGAGCACGGCGGCGGCGGCGTATGGCCACCCGAGCATTAGAAGGCCGGCGGGAAAGAACCTAAGGGTTTGCCGCGTGGCGTTAGCAACTAGTTTGTGAGTGTGTGTTGTTGGGTGTTGAGGCGGGGTGTGCTGTTCAAGGTTGGGCTGGGTGAAGGTGCGGTGAGGGCGGACGGAGAAGGGGAAGGGGAAGGGGAAGGGGGAGGGAAAACACGTACACAACAGCCTGGCCCCCGGCTCTCCGTACCAAACGGGCCCAGTCGGCCGGTGCCGGGCTGCTGGCCACGGGGAGGCGCTGGAAGGGGTGCGGCTCGAAGGAGCGGGCGATGGCGCGCAGGTTGTGCATGATGGAGAATGGTTGCGGCCGCTGCTGTTGGATGCCTTGCTGTTGGAGCTGGCGGGCGAGGGTTTGCAGGACTGGGCGGGTAACGGTACGGGCAGGCATTTTGATAAAATGTTGGCTTGGGTTTAGGTGTTATGTTTGGTGGCTGGTGTGAGGGATGTTTAAGTGGTGAAACTCAGAACCCTAGGAGTTTGACTACTGAGAGACAAGCTAGGTTGAGTGGCGAGTTGTCGTGATGATACAACGTAGGGGAGATTTTTCTGCCGGTATGATTAGGCTGGCTTGATGTGATGCTTATGATGTTGATGCTGATGATACGAACAACAACAAAACCACGAGACGGACTATCCTATTTATCACAGCCTTAACATACCACTCCAACCGACATCTCCCGCAGTAATCCCCATTCCCCTTCCCACTCGGCGACCAACACCCCCAAGTCCAGTCATAATCGAGCCATAACCCAAATCCAGACCCCGTCCCCTCCCGAAACTAGTTCGTCCGTCGTCTCCCATCCATAGACCAAGGCCCAACCGCATCGGCCCAAGCCCGCAAGTTAAGTCACGACAACGGAAGGATTGAGGCTCCCAGCAAGAGATGGTGCCAACTTGCACAGAAAGCATCCCATACCGCTGCCCTCCAAGCCGCGGCTTACACGACCGCAGCCAATTGGGGAGGGCGGTGCCTGGCAGGACCGTCCGACGTTGGCCTGAGTGTGGCACGATTTCGGATGAACTGTGAGCAGGGAGCCAAGGCCGAGTGGGTACTTGAGCTGCGTTCCAGGCAAGGTGATTTCGGGGCTGTCCGGGGGTTTTCGTGGTTCGATTGGGAGGATAGTGATTGGTTGGTTGGTGGGGTCAGCTCACTGAAATGTTGTGCATTTTGTTTTTGATGCGGCGGGTTTGCCTGGACCCAGTCTGGTTGCAGCGTGGCGGGTTGCAGTGAAGGCCCGAAGCACGAGGACAGCAGTCGTCGTGGCTTCCACGTTGTCGGGGCGATCATGCGGGCACACGCATGCCTGCAGGTTGCTTGCAGGGCATCATCCCCTGAGATTCAGGGGCCCATGCCGCTGTTAACAACACTCTTTTTAGGGGCGACGTTTTGATGCCCGGAAGCAGAGAATACCACAACAGCAACACCAGAAACAGAAACCTCGCCAACGGGGTATCACAATTGTATTTATATTCATTTTCCACGCCCAACCGAACGCCCGACCGCCCGACCGTTGGACCACCTACGCCCTCGTCACGGTCGTCCCATCCGCCGGCTCCAGCAGCTTCCAGTTGCAGACGATCTTGTTCTCCTTGAACTTGGCGATGATGCGGTCGGCAATTTCGGCGAAGTTGCTGGTGGCCAGCGCGAGGATGGTCGGCCCCGCGCCCGACAGGCACACGCCCAGCAGGCCCGGCTGCGTGCCGGGGGTCATGGACTCGACAATCTCCGTCAGGCCCGGGATCAGCGTCTGCCGGTACGGCTGGTGCAGCTTGTCCTGCATTGCCAGGTAGATGAGTTCCGGGTCGGGCGGCGACTGTCCGAGTGCTACGGGGAGGAGCGCGATGCGCTGGAGGTTGAAGGTCTGCGCGCCGTTGTCGTTAGCTGATGTATAGGTTTTTCCTTTCCCACATTCGCAACGGGATATTTAATGAGGGGGAGAAATACGTACCACGTCTGGTCGGGGATATTGTGACGGCAGCACCTCGCGCGCCTTCGCTGTGGGGACCTCAAACTCGGGGATGATAGCAACAGCCTTGATCTCAGGGGCCCAGGGGAACTTGATGTGGTGGCCGATGCCGTGCGGCGGCGACGGCGGCTTGGCGCCCGTGTCGACGCCGCCGGCCGGCGCGGGGAGCACCTCGCTCAGGGGGATCTCCACGCGGGCCACATCCTCCGGTGTCAGCGGCTTGAGGTAGGTGCCCACAAAGCCGCCGAAGAGAGCAGCGCCAACATTGTCCGGGTGGCGCTCTGTTCCGTGTCAGTTACTTGGTAGGGATGGGATGGGGTGAAATCACAGTCGCTCACCGATCATCAAGCAAAAATCAAACAACCTCTCGGGTGTGAGATCGTGTAGCTCACCGCACTCCTTCCCCAGCATCACCCCCGCCACGACGGCCGCACCGGACGAACCTAGCCCCCGGCCTAGCGGGATGGGGTTCTTGATGTGAACGTGGGTCTCGGCGGGGAAGCTGCGCTGGCCATGGCATCGCAGCACGTACAGCGCAACGCGGGTGATCAGGTTGACCTGAGGGTCGAGGCTGATCTCATCGGTGCCCTCACCCTCGCCCTCGTACGTGATGCGGCAGTTGAGCGGGTGCTCGGACTGGGCTTTGGACCGGTCGATGGCGACGTGCAGTTCTAGGTACATGGACAGCGCCAGGCCGATGACATCGAAGCCGGGGCCGATGTTGGCGCTTGAGCAGGGGGTTTTGATGACGAAGGACTCGGCTTGTGCCATGTTGACGATTGGTTGGTTGAGAGTTGATGGCCTGATGTTGTCGTCTCTCTTTTTCTCAGTCTTAGTTAACGGGTTTTGTTTGGTTTTTCGTCGATTTTTCTCTCGAGTTTCATGGAGTTAAATCGAGGGGTAACAAAACTCACAATCGCTTCGTCTCGCACTCTGGGGGGTGTTTATCTTAAGTTTCAAGGTGCCGCCCGATTAGGCTCGTTCCCGGAGTGAGAGTGACTGGTCATTGAATTTTTGCTGGGTCCGGCCACCGATTGCGGAGCGGGGGTCAACCGAGCGGTCCACCGGCGCAGGGCCCGCGCCCCCCACAACACACTGCGGCTACAGCCGGGGCTACCACCGAGACCGATGTTCAACTCAGCTAACAGCATGCCGAGTTGGTGACCGACAGCCTTGTTCATTCTAAAGAGAAAAAAAAAAAAAACCATTCGATACCCAGGCGTTGACTGTGACTATTTTGCCTCTACCCTGGTGCTCACTATTTATGTATCTACTATCTACACCAAATCTTGTTATTTTGTTCCTCAAACCAGCAGAGAACATGGAACCCACCCGCAAAACCCTCAACTCGATTCTCCCACATCATCATCAACCTCGACAAACAACCCACAACATGTGTCGATAATCTGCACCACACCCCAATATCACAATCACCCACCCCTCCTCTCCAAGACATTCCCATTTCCCCATCCCCCTCCACACAACCCCTTCTTCAGGCATCGGTAGTCCAAACAGGCTAGAGGTAGCCACCCTCGCAGGGAGTCGTTCCAACCCACGCCCCCCCACGCTGCTAAATA